GTGCCTAAGGCAGGACTAGAACTCACCGTCTCCTGGTGATTGGCCCAAAATCATGCAGTTGGATTTTGTGCTTACGGTAGGACTAGAACTCACCATCTGTCAGCTTTCCAGAAAACCTCCATTCCAACAAATAACTCTGAGGCAGACATCCTCTCAAAAGTCTTTTTATTTGGGTAGTAAACTGGTACATCTGGGAAATCCCTAATCTGAAAGTTCCAGGTGTCCTTGCAATAAGTAAAAAAAATTACAAATCCCTGCACCCATCATCCCATCACATGCCCCAATCACCATCCGTCTCAACTTGAGACTTCCTCTCACCCAGATGCAGAGAGAACATGACCTTAACTTAGAAGAAGAATGCTATTATGTCTAACTACATACACTCCAAGAAATTCCCCCCTCCCATTTTCCCAGGCTCAAGAATGTGGCAGTGTGGAAGCATCTGGTGCTAATATGGCTTCCAAATTTGACACCATCTCCTGGTGATTGGCCCAAAGTCACCCAGTTGGCTTTCATGCCTAAGGCGGGGCTAGAACTCACCAGTTCCTGGTGATTGGTCCAAAGTCACCCAGTCACCTTTGACACATCAAATGGGACTAGAACTCACTGTCTCCTGGTGATTGATTCCCTCCAATCACCCAGCTGCCTCTTCTCCTTAAAGTGGGACTAGAACTCCCTGTCTCCTGCCGATTGGCCCAAAATCATGCCATTTATAGCTGCTTCGGAGACCGGACTGACATTACTTCCCAAACTGGAGATGGGCAGACTTCAACTCCCAGAATCCTCCAAGCAGCTTAGCCACTGCTGAGAACTCTGGGAATTGAAGTCCAGAAGCTTTCCGATTCAGGAAAGGCCCTTTCCAAGGAAAGAGTTCCACACAGAGAGTGAGATTACATTATCTTTATCAAATTAAAGGCAAAAATATCTTTTTCTTCACCTTGACTTTCTCCAGATGTTTCCATTTTTGCAGCTTTCTGCCTTTGTTGTTCAAGAGCGAAAGATAAAATACTCAGTGCCATTCCAAAAAGCCAGTGTGATTCATTTAACGGCTGCAGCAAAGGAGGTTGGGGTGTTTCATTGAATGACGGAAGTTTCGATCCCAGTTGTGGTTGTTACCAGGCTTACCGTTTGATTGTTATTTTACATTTTTTCAAAAAATAAATAAATGGGGGAGGGGTGTGTGGGACACCTGCTATTGTCCGCAATTTCTCTCTCTTATGTCTCTTTATTTTTTCCTTGTCCTGTTCCAAATTTTCCTGTTTTTGGCTACTGGAAAAAAGTTTTGCTGTCGGATTGAAGCCGCAGCTTGAAAGAATAAAAAGTGACCCCAGTCAGTCAGTCTGTCTGTCTGTCTTTCTCTCTCTTTTTCTCTTCCTCTCTCCATCCTTTCTCTCTCTTCCCCTCTCTTCCCCATCTCTCTTCCTCTCTCTGTCTCTCCCTCTCTTTTCCCCCCTCTCACTTCCTCTCTGTCTCTCTTCCTCTCTCTTCCTCTCCCCCTCTCTCACACTTCCTCTCTCTCTTCCTCTCTTCCTCTTTGTCTCTCTCTCCCCCTCTCTCTGTCTCTCCCTCCCTCTCTCTTCCCCCTTTTCATTTCCTCTCTGTCTCTCTCTTCCTCTCTCTGTTCTTCTGTCT